TGCACAAGTTGGTAATTTACTGTGACTATATATGGCACAATAATACCAGGGACAAGAAAGGAACACGGGAGGGGTACAGACTGGCAACTCACTCCCGGTGTTTTTGCACAGTTGACAGTGACAAAGTTACCTCGTTTTCAAAATTTTCTGTCAGTCCTCCTTTAAGAACAATAACAAACTGTTAAAGTTATTGCCCAACTACCTTCACTGCAATGAAGCCACCTTTACAAAACATTATATGCGAATTAATATGCACCTATTCGTTCATTTCAAATAATCCAAAATTTTCAATACCGTATAAACCAGACTATAAGTCGAGTGGGAATATAGGTAGACCCTCCAAGTCCAGGTTAGCGAAAAAAAAGAAAACAACCCAAAACTGCGGAACTACATTTATTTCCGAATTGGGTGCACCGCACCTCGATCGTCGGAGCTCCCCTCAATCATTATCACAACTGCTCCTATTCGTCCGACGAAGCACCACTGTCTTCCATACACGAGAGTTAGTCGCTGGCCGCCTCCCGCAGTGCGTCGTCCTCCGTGCCATCCAGCGAATTGCTGATGCAACATTTCTTGAAAGCCTTTTCCACCATATAATCTGGCAAGGAACGCCAGGCGGAAAGCACCCAGCAACAAACAGTTGCAAACGGAGGCCTCTGTAGGCGGCCCGTCGGTGTCTTTAGGTTGTCGCCGGACATCCACTCTTGGTACTCCAGCCGCACTCGGTCTCTCGGTCTTTGAACGGCTTGTTCAGCACAACGTAAAGCGGCTGGAGGGTGGACGTTATACTATCTGGTATCCCGGTGAGGTCCGTTTCCTCGTTGCCGAGTGCGCGTTTCACAGCGTTGGTTAAGTGACCACGAAACGCATCCAACACTAGCATGTTTTGAAGACGCAGCAGTGCACTTGGTCGACGGTTCCACACTACTCTTATCCATTCGAGCTTCATGGCCTCGTCCATGTATCTTTTTTTGTTGACCCGAACGACAACACCGGGCAAGAACACTTCCTTCGGCATTGTCTTGCGATTGAAAATGATGAAGGGCGGAAGCTTTCTACCATCTGCCACGCATGCCAGCATGACGATGAAGTGCGAGTACTCGTTGCCAGTGGACAACAGCTTCACAACCTTGGTGCCGTGCTGCGTGATCGTGGTCAACGAAGGCATGTCAAACCACACCGGGGTCTCATCCGCGTTGCCGATCTGCCCCATCATTTAGTCGTTCTGCTCCAGAAGCCGGTTCACGAAGAGCTGAAAGTTTACAAGCTTGTCTTCGAACTCCTTCGGCAACTTCTGACAGATGGATGTGCGCCGCCAGAGATAAAATCCTTTGCGTCGCATAAATCGACGCACCCAAGAGTTTGATGCACGAAACTCTTCTCTCATGAGCCCAGCCTCTCAAGCGATTTCCACGGCTTTCTTGTGAATGGTATCCGTGGTCACTGGCAGCGAGCGCGCAGGAACTTCCCGCACAAAGTCTGCTAGGTTATCCTCCAGCTGCAGATGAACGGCACTTTGTCCATGAAACGACATTTTTCGAGGATTGCACATCTGCAGCTTCCCTTTGTGCACCCTCCAATAGCGCACACTTTTTTTCCGATACACCAAAGCGGCACTGAGCAGCCATATTCCCGTTCACTTTTGCGAACTCAACAACATCTAGTTTAAACGCAGCTGAGTACTGCCTCCTCCTACTACTACTCATATTCAGTGAATAAAAAAAAAAAAATACCACTAAAAATGCAGCGCAATCTCAAGCGGAGCAAAAACTCTTGAGCAGATTGGAAACAAATCACGAACACAAAGAAAACAGACAGAGAAAAAAAAAACAGCCTGCGATTGCATTTGGATGCGGATATGGCCGCGTCCGGCTCCTCAAGCACATGCAAGCCACATGTTGTCAGACAGCGGCGCACTTTCGGCTAGACACCGCTATATAAGACAAGGGGTGACTTTAGCTTATTATTTTATTGAAAATATCTCGACTTATATTCCGGTTTACATGGTAGTTTAAATTCGATTTAAAGCAAATACTGCATTATATGTTCAAATATTCACACAAGGCTAATGAAGTCAATACAGTAATCGCATGTCCCGATGCCCGCTGGCAATGAGCGCTTGTACCATGCATTATTACTGCAGTAGTTCATGTTTTGTTGTGAAGCATGTATACAAGATGTGCAAGTTTGGAAAGCATGAAAGTTACTTTCACTGCACTTCCAAGCAGAGGAAGTTATTCGCACTGTATTCACAAGCAGAGGCGTGGCTGTGTGGCAGAATACTCGCTTGCCACGCAAACCGACTTGGGTTCGATCCTCACTCTGACCCAGAATTTTTTACGACTAATTTTATTTGTATCTTTCAAAATTTTTTGGGTCATGCACTAGATGATTCTTCACTCACAACCGATGCCAACACTGAAAAAATTTCTGTGGAACGAGCTCTTTAAGGCTATCTCGTTAATATTTGAGTGCAAGCACACGGCACACCATGCATACACTGTCATGCGCTGTCTTTTTTAGATAAATTTTAGATGCTTCGCCAACTAGGCCGGCCACCAGTTCTTTTACAGTACATTTCTAGCGAGTGCTGCCCGAGCTTGGCACCTAAATATGTCAGTGTGTGCACGTGTGAATGCGCTCTGTTTGTGTTCATACAATTTTGAAATGCCTCCCTTCTGTTCTCGTAAACACTGAAAGGAAGACTGCACCATTATATGACACAGTGAGAGGAGGGGAGAACATTCCAATACAGTAAGCATCTCATTGCTTATTTCAATTGCACTCAAACCTTATTACCGTATTTACTCGCGTAATGATCACACTCGCATAATCATAGCACCCCTGAATTTTGTCGTCTAAATTCGACTTTTTTTTTTTCCCACGTAATGATCACACCCTAAACTTGCTGCATCAACATCTCATGTGCCAAGTCTAGCTGTACGCGCCTATAATTGTTTCAGTGATCTGAAAGAGGGCATCGCTATGCTAATGCCGTAAATTTACTGAAACGTTAGAGACCCTAGACGGTAGACCTTTTTCCGAAGATAAGATCCTTGGTTCATGGCTCAACCCGTCGCAGGCCAGCAAAGCGACGCGGGTATTGCTAAGTTTTCTAAAGACGACTAGACTACGCGACCGCTTATAAGCGTGCAATGGACAAGGTCACATCTACACACACGTTGCCCTTCACCTCTCTCTCTCCTCCTTTAATCCTCTCACCCCTTCCACCTGTTTAGGGTAGCAAACCGGAAGTGCATCTGGTTAACCTCCCTGCCTTTCATTTCTTCCCTTCCTCCTCCTCTCCTATTGATTTAAGTGAAACCATTCCTTATTTAGATAAAAAAAAACTGTTGTGACGCGCGTGACGTACTCACAACCTCCATAACTGACGCAAAGAAAAAAACATGCAGTGGCTTTGCTCTACGGAGTGCTTCGCTCCGTCAGCCGCCATGTTTGTTTTGACATCCCGCACTGTTACAGCGGCGGTTGCCTGTTGGTCGACCTGTGTTCATCCTGTAGCACTGTTTTTTTTTTTTTAATTCCTGAGACCACGTTTTTTGTGTGTGTGCTTTGTGATTGTCTGTTGAAGCGCCATTTTACAATGGGGCGGTATGTGAGCTTTACTGCTGCGTTCAAGCTGAAGGCGCTTGACTACGCGCTAGAGCATGGCAACCAGTAGAGCACAGCAACCGCACTGCCGGTAGACATTTCGGCGTCGACGAAATCCAGATCTGATATTAGAAAAAACAATGCGACATGCTCATGGCTACTAACAGCACGCGATGGGCTTTCCGTGGACCCAAATCAGTCAAGTTCCCTGACATTGAAAAGGCAGTCCTCGCATACGTGAAGGACATGCGCAAGGACGGTTATGCAGTGTCATTAGACATGATACGGACGCAGGCGTGCACAGTTTCTCGGAGGCTGGGAATAGCAACAAAGGACATCCGCGACAGTTCCGGCTGGACGACATGCTTCATGCGGCGGAATGGACTGTCGCTGGTATTTCCAACACGCTCGACGGAACGGAAGATGACCCTCTGTGAAACAGTGAAGACACTGCCGGTTCCGACAGGGAATCGTGCGGCGACAACACTGACGCCAGTGATGCTTGGGAGTCTGAATAAACGTTAGGGCGTCAGTGAGGTAAAAAATAAAAGGGCAGTGTGCCATGCATGTAGCTCTTGCATAATGCGTGCATTTTATTACATAGGTAAGCCTTATTTTACTTATATTTTTGGTTATGCTCATAATAGCTACTGTAAGAATTCTGATTAGCGACTTTTTTGCGTTTCTGGTGCTCAGAATATATCTTTACGGAAAATTTACCCCGCATAATAATCGCATCCCGAAGTTGGAGTCAATTTTTTCAAAAAAAAAAGTGCGATCATTATGTGAGTATATACGGTATAACGAACTCGCATTTCACAGGAAATTAAGTTCCTTATATCCTAAAATTCATCATAAAGGTATATTAACATTGTATCTGCTGCGAGACCATGTTTATTTACTTCGTTAAAACCAGTATTTCGTTATACCAAGGCTTGAGTTTGTAAGATGGCAATCCCAATAATGTCCTTTGGCAATTTATCATTGTTTCTGGATGACAACCATTATTTGTCTATGTCACTGTTTGCCAAATCATTCTTTTCCTGTAGAACTTTTTCTAGATGATAATCACAGTACAATATATTTACACAACTTAATCATGTTGTTTATAATTCGCTATCTATACAAGCACGAGAATCATAATTTCAATGTGTACACCCTATAGTATCACACTGCCTGTGAAGCAACTTATTGCTATATATACAGTTGTGCTGCCACCTCTCGGACTTTTTTTTGTTTGTTTTCATGCAATTTTTTTCTGGGGCTGTCAACTAGTGAAGTTGTTTTATGCACAACTTTTTAATTCGCAGCCCTTTTTTTTTTGAAAGACAGAATGAAACATAATATTAATTTCACTCGATACGAGACTGTGCCCTTGGACGACGTACCCATGCGATTCACCTATCTTGCAAGAGACGTCCTTCTCTTCCACTCCGTATTTCTCAAGGTTGAATTCGGTGCTTGCACGAGACGACAGTTCAGCCGAGCTCCCGGGCGATTTGACGAACGTCAGCAGGCCCTGCAAGTTTACAAATGCACAGGCAGATCGGTTAAAATTAATTTTCAAATGACGAGTCTGATATTGCCTTTAGAGATTACTCCACAGCAGACTCCAAGATATTTTACTATTTTCAGCCAAGAGCAACTGTTCCCGATCAACATGAAGCTGAAAATTTCCCTTCTCTTTACTCACTGTCACAAGCCTTGGGCAAATGTAAAAGACAAAACACAGCTGTACTCAGCCTGAAAAAAAACTTTCCTTTACCATGTACTTCCAAAATGAAAGTGGTGCATTCGAATAAGCGCTTCACTGGGAACAGGTAAGACGTATGCAGGTCCCGTGTAAAGTAATGCAATCTGACAACGAAATGTGCTCGGTCGAAGGAACATCAATTCGATGCTACCAACACAGTGGTTGCATGCAGGCACACCAGAGGCCACAAAAATTCGAAAACCATGACTGACGGCCACCTATTAATGGGTACAAAGCAAGCGCTGAGTGCTTACTGTGGATTTTAAATGCTTGAATGAACACTTGAATGCCGAAAACTAGCCGAAAGACAGCAGCTGGCACGTTGTCAACCCAGTTGCAGATGCTGAGATAATTGACACTCATTGTGATATTTTTGGAAGCACAAAACTAACACTGTTGGCAGTTTCAACGAGGACAAAGCGCAGGTGGACGAACACCTGCTGCGAAAGGAGGTTGAATGCACGACCAGTGACCATGGCCTCGTGCAATGCTTGGTCGAAGTGAAGCTTGGGTTGCTCGAACCCGGCAAGAAGTTGAAACAGCCAAAGCTAAGTCTTCTCGCACCTGAATAAAGCTTTGCATCTCTGAATACTTTAACTTTTTACTTCGTTGCAGTCACGGTGCAAACAAAGCTCGACTGCTTCAGCTTTTCTAGAGCAGTTGCTTATATTGAAAGAACGCTCAAATGAATTTTTTTGCCGCCCCACTGATTTTGTTACGAGGGCTTCTACTGAACTACAGTCCAATCTCGATAATTTGAACTCGAAGAGGCCCGAAAATTTGTTCGAATTAATGAAAGCCAAGTAAACGGAGGGCTCCTCATGCAGTGGCGCTTGTGCATTGAGCTAACACACGAGGGGGAAGTTTCAGAAGACTTACATTTATTCACAAATCACAGGACATCTGTCATTAATTGAAGTAACCGGTGATGCACATCTGCACACGTTTGCCTTGCAGCGAGTCAATCAATTTCGCATGCAGCTTGCAAAGCATGTCTACTTTGGCTTCAGCATTTTCCTGGCAAGACAAGTTACGCGCAGCAATGCCCAGCGCCAACACCCTCCAAAGACGACGACAACGACTGCATCTCTGCTACTACCCTCTGCGCTAAAGCCGCAGCGTGGCCAGCACGTGATGAGAAAGGAGGAGCATCTCCAAGCGAGAGAAGCAGATCAGCATTTGAGAGAAAACCAACACTCCATGGCAGCTTTTTTTTCGTGCTCTCTTCGCGCGCGTTGTTGAAAAGAGAAGAGTTACGTGGCAGGGGCGGGAAAGGAGGAAGAATGGCACTGCCGGGTGAGAGAGGGCCCACACTCGGCGACAGTTTTTTTCTCTCTCTCTCTTTGCGCGCGGCGTTGGAAGGAGAAGGGTCTTTACATGGCAGGAGCGGAAACGGGAGAAGCGTGGCACAGGTGCGTCACAGATGGGCATGTAGAGAGAGCAAACATTCCACCGCAGCCTTTTCTTTCCTTTTTCTTTCCTTCGCACACAGCGTTGATGTGTTGGAGGTACCGCCGCGGGATTGGGCGGAGTGCTGAGAGCATTTTCGGAGCGTGGTATGTTCGAATTAACCGTGACAAGTGCTTGCCCATTCGAATTACCTGGCGTTTTCACTCATTGGAACACACATAGCTTTGACGGGACCTCACCGCGAGTTCGAATTAACCGGAAGTTCGATTTTATGAGATTCGACTATCATATCGAGAGGATCGACCTATATTCTGGCCTGATCTTTATTCCAGTTTTCACAGTGCATACATAATTACACTACTAATTGAAAATTTTATTATTCAAGTACCCTAAGGGCCACCGACAAGAATCACACAGGGGGGTTTATTGAATCAGTTGATTAGTGGAGTTTATTGGCGCAAGGGCCAGATGTGGTCAAAGAGTGCCCGAGTGATGATAATGAACTGTGCGATATGCAGTGGGGATAAAACAGATGTGACGTGGCTGTAAATGGGCCTAAAAACAGTCGCTGTAGGTGCGTAAAAATATACATATAATAAAATTATGGCAATGACAAATAATGTGTGCTATGGATACATAAATTGCCTTAAAAGTGATATGTATATGAAATAAAAACTTGGCGTGGAGCACTAGTGCCTCAGCAGAGCCCTAAAAACAAGAGCATGGAGGCCTGGGCTCATTGAAAGCTGCTATCACAGCGGCATCTTCTGAATAGAGGATGCGCTATGAACTTGTTGGGATAAAAACATTTAATACTATGTCCCTTAAAAAGCTTAGAACTGATTTTGCATCAAAAAGCGGCTCTTCGCCGAGAAACATAATAGGATGTAAAGGAAGATGATAGCGGTATGCTAAAGGAAAATATTTCTTTCTCTTTCAGCTTCCGGACACTCCAGGAGGATGTGGAGGACAGTTAGCCTCTTGCCACATCTACCACAAGTAGGAGGTTCATCGCCAGTCAGCAGGAAGCTATGGGCACCATAAGTGTGTCCTATTCTGAGGCGACAGAATAGGACATCAGTTCGCCATGTTCTCGTATCAGAGGGCCAGTAACCTAACTGCGGCTTAATCAAGTGAAGCTTATTATTTATTTCTGTGTCCCACAAGCGTTGCCATTGGCTTCGCAGTTTCTTACGTAGGAAGGGTTTTAGGTCTGTTGCAGGGACAGTAGCGGTAGGGTTAATAGCGCGCAATATAATTGACGTGGCCATTTGGTCAGCTAACGCATTGCCCTCGACACTTCTATGGCCAGGTACCCAGCAAATAGTAACATGCTAATTGGACATATACGCAGTACACAGGACGGAATACAACTCAATTATTACCGGATTTCTGAATCTAAAAAGTGATCTTAATGCATTTACGATGCTTAACGAGTCTCTAAATATAATTGATTTTTGTATGTTTGTTTCGGTATATGCTTCACAGCCGACAATAGTGCATAACCCTCAGCCGTAAATATACTTGTTTCCGGGTGCAGTACACCGGATTCTGAGAAGGATGGTCCGACGGCTGCATAAGCCACCCCTGCATGCAACTTAGAAGCGTCTGTATAAAACTCTACGCATGAGTAGTTAGACTGGAGTTGTCAGAAATGCATTTTAATATGTGCTTCTGGTGCGTGTTTAGTGAACTCGACAAATGAGGTGTCACAGTGTATAAGCTGCCACTGCCACGGTGGTAAAAGTTTCGCTGTGGGCATAGGACAAAGTTCTAGCAGTAGAACACCCATTTCTTCACTTAAGTTTCTCACACTCAAAGAGAACGGCTTTCTCACTGTGGGTCGATTATGGAAGAGGTTGGCAGCGGTCATATTGTTTATAGTTGAATAAGAAGGATGCTTGATGTTTGCGCGTACCTTTATAAAATATGCGAAACTGCTATAGGACCGCTGCAGGTGATGTGACCACTGATTCGACTCTACATAGAGGCTCTGTATCGGACTTGTCCTGAAGGCACCGGTTGCCAATCGGATACCCAGACGGTGAACAGGGTCTAGGATTTTCAAAGCACTTGGCGTTGCGGAATGATAAATTATAGAGGTATAATCAAGGCGCGACCAGACAAGGCTTTTGTACAAGTTGAAGAGACACTTCCGATCACTACCCCATGTTGTAGGTGATAGGAGCTTTAGGAGGTTCATCGCTTTCAGACATTTCATTTTTACATGTTTAATATGGGGAATAAACGTGAGCTTAGAATCTAAAGTGGTTCCCAGGAATTTATGTTCGCTGCTCACAGAGAGTTGGTCTCCCTTGATCGCAACATTTGGTAGTGGCATTACCCTCGTTTGTTGAAGAAAAATACGCAAGTACTTTTCTTGGTGTTTATTTTAAAACCATTCTTATCTGCCCATTTAGAGAATTTATTCATTCCAAGCTGCACTTGTCATTCGCAGATAGACATATTGCATGATTTGAAACACATCTGCACATCATCAACATACACGGAATAAAACATTCCGTGTATGTTGCACAAGCTGATGCACAAGCTCGGAATGACTGACTGCAGGGAGTTCATTTTTACAAGAGTGTGCAACTAAGCATGCCCCCTTTCGGAACACCAGTCTCTTGGGTAAAAGATCTAGAGAGAGCATTTCCCGCTTTTACGCGAAAGGTTCGGTTAGACAAATAACTTTTAATTGTGTTTAGCATGTTCCCATGGATGCCCATGGCGGCAAGATCGCGTAGAATCCCAAATTGCCATGTGATATCGTACACCTTTTCTAAGTCTAGGAATACCGAAAGTACAAACTGCCTATGAATAAATGCATATCTGATGCATGTCTCTATGCGAACAAGGTGGTCTATTGTCCACCTCCCCTCTCTGAAATCACACTGAAGGGGGTCTAGTATACTGTTACTTTCCAGAAAGTGGATTAAGTGCCAGTTTATCATTTTCTCATATAGTTTGCATAGACAGCTTGTTAGCGCTATTGGCCTGTAGCTGGCGGCCAAGGACGGGTCTTTGCCTTGTTTAAGCACCGGGATGACTATCGCTTCTTTCCATGACAATGGAATATACCCAGCTTCCCACATGGTATTGAAGAGGGTTAGGAGTGTTTTTAGTGCTTCGGGATGAAGGTAGTTGATCATTTCATACTGTATACGATAGCCACCTGCCGCCGAGTTGTTGAAGTACGCAAGAGATGCCTTAAGTTCAGCAAATGAAAATGGGCAGTTGTAAGTCTCCCTGGACGGACGTTTACATTTAGGGGGTTGCCGCTCTTTGCATTTTTTTAATCTTAACGACGTTTCTGTATAGTGTGATGCACTTGAGACATATTCAAAGTGTTCACCTAGGCAGTCCGCCTGCTCCTCCAGGCTTTTTCCTCGGCTACTTACCAAGGTTAGGGGGTGTGACTACCGACCCATTAACTTGTTTACCCTATTCCAAACCTTCATTTTGTCAGTGTAAGAATTTATACAGGACATGTACCTATTCCAACTTTCTTTCTTTGCAAGACGACGTGTTCTTCTGGCTTGGGACTTGACCTGTTTCAAATTGGCGAGGTTTTCAGCCGTTGGGTAATTTCGGAGTAGTCTCCAAGCTTTATTTTGTCTATTGCGCGCTTTTCGACAATCGTCGTTCCACCATGGGATGCGATGCTTATTAGTCATTCCATTAGTTTGCTTAATACATTTCACTGCAGCGTCAATAATAAAACCTGTTAGGTATGCTACAGCATCGTCTATATTAAAATCAGCAATGTCATCTCCGTCTAAAAATGTAATTTCTTGGAACAGTTCCCAGTTGGCTGACTTGGTGTTCCAACGAGGAAAGTCAGGCGAGCATGTGTCTTCTTTTGTTAACTTTAACATAATAGGGAAGTGGTCACTCCCAAGGGGGTTCTTGAGAACGAACCACTCCAGATATGGAATTAATGTACTCGAGACAATACCCAGGTCTATAGAAGAGTATGTGTTGTGTGTAGTGCTATAATATGTTGGTTCTTTTTTGTTTAGTAGACATGCACCTGACGAAAACAGGAAGTGTTCTATTAGGCGTCCTCGCGCATCTAAACGGGAGTCGCCCCATAGGTCATTATGTGCATTTAGATGACCGACGACTATATATGGCGGAGGAAGTTCATCAATGAAGCTTTGAAATTGTGTCTTCGAATGTTGACAGCACGGAGGAATGTAAATAGAGGCAATTGTCAGTAGCTTCCCGAACAGCACTGCTCGGACAGCAACTGCCTCAAGAGAAATTCGGAGGTTTAATTGCTTACAGGCAACACATTTATCAACTATTAGAGCGACACTGCCCGACGAAGCGGCAGCCTCGTTACGGTCTTTGCGGAAGATGGCATATTGCTTTAGAAAGTTTGTTTGTGTGGACTTGAGATGTGTTTCCTGAACACACAGCACATTTGGAGTATGTTTATTGAGAAGTTCTCTAATATCATCCAGGTTATGAAGAAGTCCTTTCATATTCCACTGTAAGATCTGTGTGTCCATTTTAGATGTGTTTTGTGCTGTGTGCTCAAGGATGGAAAGTTAGCTCACAGACCCTTTCCGGGGGCCGTGAGATTTTTTTTTTATTTTTTTTTGGGGGGGGGGGGGGATCGGTCGACAGAGTTGCGCCGATCCTTAGGCGCTGGCTGCGCCCTCATGCTCGGTGTTGGGTCCATCGCATCTTGCGAGGCGCTGGACACGCGCTCTTGCGAGTGCTGCGTTTGTTTTGAGGGCCTCGCCTCAAAAGACGAGACCTTCGCGGCCCCCAGCCCGGAGGTTGGTGGGTCTTTCTTGGATGGCGGAGCAGCACTGGCTGCAACCGCAAAGGGGGCAGATGGCGTCACTGCTGGCTCACTACGCGTGTGCCAGACAGGCACCGGGGGCCGTCGTGGCACTGCCCCCTGACGCGCCACTTCGGCAAAGCTGGTTTCTGGTAGGTAGGACATCTGCCTTCGTGCCTCCCTAAATGAAATGTTTTGTTTTTTTGTGACAATTTGCTTTTCTTTTTTTCCAGCATGGACATGACCGCGAGTATGCGGCACGCTCCCCATTACAGTTCGCACAGTGAAGAGAGTTTTCACAGGCATCAGATGTGTGTTCTTCAGCACTGCATTTCGTGCAAGTTAGGCGGCCTCGGCAGTTTTGTGAACTGTGGCCGAATCGCTGACATTTGAAACATCGGAGAGGGTTTGGTATATATGACCTCACTCGAAGCTTGATGTACCCAGCCTCAACAGAGTCGGGCAGTACACTTGAATTGAAAGTATCAGGTGCTTAGTCTGGACTTTTTTGCCATCACGCCTCATCCTAATTCGTTTCACGTTGATGACATTCTGTTCGCTAAAGCCCTCCAGAAGTTCAGCCTCCGTCAGCCCTAACAGGTCATTGTCTGAAAAAACGCCACGGGTGGTGTTCATGGTTCGGTGTGGGGTTACTATTAATTTGGTATCTCCAAATTTCACTAGATTAGGCAGTCTCTCATATTGTTTCTGGTCGCGGAGCTCCAACAAAAGGTCACCACTTGCCATTCTCAATGCTTTATATCCTGGGCCAAAGATTTCCGTCAAGACTTTGAAAATAGAAAAGGTGAAAGCGTTAGCTCTGATTTGCCGGGTGTGTCAGCATGGATATTATGGATTCGGAGAAAAAAGACTTTCTGGTGGCCAAAAAACTGAAAGACTTCATCGGTGCGCCCTCTTTTCTGAGGGCGATCAGGGAGTGGGGGGAAGGAACTAGCCATATGAAAATGTTTATTTTTGGCAGCGGCGCCAGCCACCTACCATGGAGTCCTACAAGGGGACGGTGCAGGGTCTGTAAGCACAGGCTTGGCATACGCCAGCTGTACACTACCACTATAACCGAATATGGTGTATCCAAGGTAGGATAGCCACACAGGGTTAACCCTTGCCGCCAGGAAACACGGAAGTCAACGGAAAAGAGTAGAGGACAGGAAAGATTTAAAGTAAGAGAAAAGACGAAGATGTGAGGTGGAGACAAGAAAAGGCGACTGCGGATTCCTGTCTACGTGAAGCCGGGGCCAAAAGGATGTGTTGCCGCCACTGGGGGCCTTACAGGTCCAATCACCTAGCATCGGCTCAACCCCCAGGATCCCCCTTTCCCCGGGCACGACAAAGCCACGCACGGCTAGGCGTGGGAGGGGGTCGAACCCCCCCCCCCGTTAGCTCGGGTCCGTGGTGTCGCTACACACCAAACGCCTGCTTGCGCAGATGCCCCTGCGGGGTTTATTGAATCAGTAAGTGACATTTATGCTCAATAGAAGCAGTATAAATGGAGCAGAAAATATCATGGTAACATTCAAAAGGTACAACATTGTAGGCATACAACAAATTATTGAGCGATATTAAGCAAACTATTTAACATTCGTAGAAATGCCTCGTGGTTTACTATAGACACAATATTGTGTAGTAGGTTATGGCACACCACAGTGTTGAGTTACTGAAGGGGCTAGTACGCGCATTCAGAACGTAAACTGTGAAGGGGTGATCTATCCATGGGAGAATGCGATGAGCAAGTAATATGTGAGAGGCAGCAAATGAGGAATGATTATGATGAGCCTTGTGAAAATGATACAATATACTTACCCCTTCCGCCTCCCAAAAAGTGGAGAATTAGCACGTCACCATCTTCTCATTTTTGCAATATAATATTAAGTATCTGGGCATAGTGTTGCATAAATTTGAAACATAGATACACAGTCCACCATGATTCGTGCCATAAGGCAATACCTCTTTCACGTGTCCCTGCATCTCAGTGTTAGCTATACCTAGGCATCTCAAAATTACTGCTGCAGATGCGTGACACTCACCCGCTCTCCACAGGCAACACCGGATCGCGACCCAAACTCCACGGAGGCATCGCGGAGCCCCTGCCCATTGACAAAGACGGTTGTTGTCTTGTATGCGGCGGCAAGCTCCAGGGCAGCGGGTAGCCTCTCCGTCCACACGCTCACTTCAGAGTGATGCAGCGCGCTGTTTACCAGGGTCACCGACTCCTTAGCTGTGCGAAACTGGGTCACTAACACCAGAGGCCAACCAACCTGCAATTAATCATGTATGGTAGAAACAGTCAATAAGCAGCGTAAAACAAAGTTGTCATGCTGTGGACACTATCCCTATTTATATATACCCCCCACTCCCTTCCTCACATGATGCTAGAAGTCAGTCAGGTGATTTGAATAAATTAAAATTAAACAAGTGTCGCTGCATTACATGCAAAAGCCGAGCCATGGTCAATCAGACATTAATACAACAAAGTTGACACAACAAACTGTCAATAAATGAAGTGAAAAAAAAATAGTCTTGACACTCTTATAGCACTGTGAACATAAACATAAAATGAATTTTCAAATACAGTCAACTGCCGATTTTTCGGACCCCGAATTTTTGGACATGCCCCCGATAATTCGGACATCTTCGCGGCACCGCCACAAGCCCCATAGAATCAATGTATAAGGAAGTCAGAAATTTTGGACGCTCGAACCCCCCGGAGTCCAATTTCCCGGACTTTTTGACATGATGGAAGGTCAGAAACCAGCACTGACCTCCAATGGAAACCACCACAACTGCGTCACACGCAATTACGATCGCATAAATGAGTGCGCCGGTCTACTGTGGCGGCATCTATTGCTTGGACTCGTTGATCGTTAGCGGAGAAACACACACGGCCTCCGAGATTCCTAACACTGGCCGTGTTTATCGTGCAAGGGTGCTTCGCTGACAATCGAAACTATCCACCTGGAAATTTTTTGGCGCCAATAAAGTTCCTTTCACTTTAGCGCTTGTGCTCGTGGGGTGCCACTCTGGCTTCCCGCGCAACGTTTTCGCTAAGCGTTTCACCACTTAGAACTAGAACTAACCATCACACACCGATTTGGTCTGGCCACGCTGGCTATCTTGAGTGTTTACCAGTGCCACCTCCGGAGTACCCAAGGCACCGTCGCCTGTCGTCGTGCCGTTTTGTTTACGCAGCCCACATGGTGTTTGGCTAGCCTAGTGCGTAGTTGTGCGATCGTGCGAAGTGTACTTTGCAACGCTAAGCCTAGGTGCTTCGACACTCGTCAGCAAACTCTTTTGTTCACATCATGAGGATTTCGCTTGCCTGCAATGGCCCCCACTCCGCCTTCGTCGTCCTCGCCGATGGCATCAAAGCACGAGAAACAGTACCATCGGTTAACGATGGAGAAGAAAGCCACCATTATTAAGTTAGTGAAGAGTGGCCGATCGCAGGCTGACGTCAGCAAGGAGTTCGGCATTTAGCAAACAGTTTCCGATTTCCTGAAAAACAAAGATAAGATCTTGGAAGCGGTCGAAAAACCGTCTGGTGCCCAAAAGATGAATGCAAGCCAAGGTGTTCATCCAAAGCTTGAGGACGCTCTCATCGTGTGGCTTAATTTAATGATTGCAAAACGGTTGCCAGTCTCGGGCTGCATCTTAAAACAAAAAACGGAAACTCTCGCGCTTCGAATGGAAATCACGGATTTTAAGTTCAGTGATGAATGGCTGAGAAACTTTAAGCATCGGAATGACTTCAAGTTCAAGAAGATGTGTGGCGAAAGCAGCGCCGTCCACAGTGCAGTTATTGCGCAGTACCACAGTGGAAAACTCCAGTCTTTGTTGCAGCAGTTCTCTCCTGACAACATTTTCAACTGCGACAAAACTGGCTTGTTTTACAAGCTGCTGCCGGAAAGAACACAGGCTTTGGTGGTGACGCATGCCATGGTGGCAAGCATAGCAAAGAACGACTGACCGTTCCTGTCGGCAGCAACATGTCTGGCAGAGAGAAAATTCCTTTGTTAGTAATCGGGAAGTCCAAGAGCCCGAGGTGTTTTAAAGGGGCAACGCTGCCAGTGTTATATGAAGCCAACAAAAAGGCATGGGTAACGCAGCAGTTGTTCGAGAGTTACATTCACAGGTTGGACAGAAAATTTGAACAACAGAACAGACATGTTATGCTCTTCCTTGACAACTGCGCTGTTCATGGTCACATCAATAACTTGAAGGCTATCCAGCTGGAATTCATGCTGCCCAACACGACTGCGATCCTCCAACCGATAGACCAATGCGTTATCCGTAATCTGAAACTTTTGTACCGTTCACGTATACTCAACCGCATGGTGCTGTGCTCAAAAAACGGGAAAGGCTACAGCGTTCACTATCGGTCTGCTGTCGGAATGCTTGCGGACGCATGGAAGGCAGTAACACAAGACACGCTACGCAACTGCTTTTGCCACGCGGGCTTCGTACTCGACACAGAGGCAGCAGACTTGCCTGAAAAAAGCGACAGCGTGACTGACTTGTGCCCTCTCATGGACGATATTATCAACGACCTCCGCTCTGCTGGTGCTTCCATGCCCACGTAAATAACTTTTGAGCGGTTCGTCGACGCTGATAACAAGCTCGGCTTCTGCGCAGAGCTAACCGACGACGAAATAGTCCATCAGAGTATGGTGGATTCAGACGACTCCGATGTCGAAAAAGAGAAACCATTGCCTGGGCCATCTGCGACTGCCGAATTGATGCGAGCATTGATGACGCTGTCATCGGTGTACAGTAATGACATGACCCTTGCTCAGATCAAGAAGAATGTGATCACATGCATGCGGAACGCCGTTCAAACAAGGATCAACATGTTTTTCAAGCCACTGCAGCTCTAACATTGACTGCCCTGATGGCACCCGCTGTCGGCTGCATGCATTTTTCTTTAACGGCTCTTTTCAGAGCCACCCCACTGATGCTTTGGCAGAGTTCTGGAAGTCTGGTACTTCGAGCTTGACCCTCTTGATCCTAGAAATATCAATAAAGTGGTGCATTTTTTGCTTGCATTGAGAAATATTAGCTAAATGGTGCATTTTTTTGCTTGCATTGAAAATTATCAGTAATGTTTTTTTTTCTTGCATTCATTTGTTCGGACTGCCCTAATTTTTGGACAGTTTTTCGCTCTTTAGAGGGTCCGAAAAATCGGCAGTTGACTGTATAACAAGTCTATTTTCATAGTGGATACTACTCCATCTGATGAGGTTTCACTTCATGTGACATGAAATTGTGGCAAATTCTTTATTAACATTTACCACTTATGGTTCCTTAGTTTTTATGCAAACTAGAAGAGGAGTTCTTGCACTTTTGCCTCTATCAAAATTAATTTGTTGTTACTGCAAATCGAATTGTGATCAGCAATTGAACAACACAGCCCAAGAGTGGCTAGCCCACCTATCAAAGAAAGATTTATCGCTCAAACCTATACGCACCCTGTGGGGCCCAAATAATCTGCCAAGTCTCCGTACGCTTTTCTAAAAATGACTTGCTAACGGCCTTGCTGACACTGATAAAATGATGCTGCAGATGTAAATGGCAGCCTTGTTACTTTTTTTTTCTGTGTTCACAGACACTGCATGGCGAATATGTGTTCTCAAGTGCTTAGTCGAGGTTCTTGGGACAACACAAACCTAATGCCCCGCTTTTGGTCGGTGTTATCGCATGCCTTTATTCATTCTTCTCATGAACAACTGGAACCTAATATTGACACAAGGTAGACTGGCAACTATAGTAGCCAGCCTCTGAGGAGGACAACGAAGTAGTTCGGTGTGCGCGTGCTCTGGTGTTCGCGTTTTTGGCCCTTGGGTTACGAAAGTAAACGCCCTATTTTGTACCTGCGTACCTGTGTCTTTGTGGCATTTTCTGGTGAAAGTGCTGGGTACGGTAAATTATACGGTCCCCTGAGAGCACCCCTGACGCAAGTCCATCGAGTAGCTCAGCTAAGCTTACCCCTGTGCACGCACGTTCCAGCCGTCGTCTCCAAGGACTCAAGCCACAGCACGGTTTGCTGCCTGAACGTCAGAGGACTATGAATCAAACACCGCCTAACGTCACCGCGCCAGCACCAGCGCACCTGGTTATCAACCAGCCCAAGACGCAGAAGACATTTCACGGAGCTGCTTTTGAAGATGCCGACGACTGGCTAAAGCATTTCAACCGGGTCGCCGTCATCAACGATTGGACCCCAGAGCGTAAGCTACGCTATGTGTACTGCTTCCTGGAGGACTCCGCGAAAACGTGGTTTGAGAACCATGAAGCAGCGCTTACGTCATGGGATGAGTTTCACCGGCAGTTCCTCAAGGCATTTGCCTGAGAGGACAGGAAAGAGACAGCGGAGCGTGCTGTAGAGGTAAGGTATCAGGGCCCTAACGAAAGGGTGACGACTTACGTAGAGGACATGGATCGGCTTTTCAGGCGTGCGGAGCCCTCTATGTCCGAATCCAAGAAAGTTTGCCACCTAATGCGTGGTGTTAAAGAAAAGACTTTTGCTGGCCGGATTCGAAACCCGCCTGCGACACTTACGGAGTTCCATGAGGAAGCCACTGCCATGGAGAGGGCCCTTCAATAGCGTGCCAGGCAGTATAACCGTGGTGTACACCCAAGTGAGGTCACTTCTGTCACTCTCGGCAATGACATCAGCGCGTTGCGAGAGCTTATCAGAGCTCTCATTAAGGAAGAGCTACAAAAGATGCAGGTGACTGCTTCACCTGTAGAGCAGCTCTCCATTGCGGAGATGGTACGTGCCAAGCTACAGCAAGCCGTTCACGCTCCCCAACCGTCCGAGGTGCCACAACAGAGGCACTGCGTCGAGATGAGCTACGCGGAAGCAGTGCGATGTCCTCCATCATGCAGTTCAACTAGCATATTTTACCCCAATGAGCGACACGCTCAGCAAATGGAGGTAGGCTTCCGTCCTCGCAGCTTACCGTTGATCACCGAAGCAAGACCGAGAAAGAGTGACATCTGGCGTACATACGACCACAGGCCTCTTTGTTTCCACTGCGGGGAAGCCGGACACGTCTATCGAACATGTCCATACCGTTGTGTGGGTCTCCGTAGATTTTCACCTAATGCCCCTCGTCCACGACCTGGTGAGCGACCACAGGAAATAGAGAGTTTTATCTCCAATCGTTGCAGTATCGAACATCGGTCACAAGAGCCTCGCTCGTCATCGCCTGCTCGCTACAGGTCACCGAGCCCAGCCTATTCACGCTGCGCTCCGAGA